TCTTTTGTTGATGCTATGGTTGTTATAGATGGTGCTGTTAATTTTGATAGAAAGGTTATTTCGTTTTTTTAGATGGTGCTGTGTTGTATTAGATGGGTGATGTTATTTTTATATATGGTGATGTTCGTTTTCAGATACGATGGTGATGTAATTTAGATATTATGGTTGCAGTCATAGTTAAAAGACGTGCTGTGAATTTGAAATGATTATCTCGTTTTTTTTGTTAGATGGTGCTTGGTTGTTAATAGATAGTGCTGTAATTTTGATAAATGGTTATGTCGATTTGTTAGATTGTGCTGTAATTTTGATAAATGTTATGTCGTTTTGTAAGATGGTGCTTGTGGTTGTTATAGATGGTGCTGTTAATTTTTGAAATGGTAATGTCGATTTGTTAGATGGTGCTGTCGATTTGATAAATGGTTAGGTCGTTCTTTTATTTTGATGCTATGGTTGTTAAAGATGGTGCTATAATATTGATAAATGGTTATGTTGTTTTTAAGATGGTGCTTGTGGATTTGATAAATGGTTAGGTCGTCCTTTTTAGTTGATGCAATGGTTGTTATTATAGATGGTGCAAGTAATTTTGATAAATGGTTATGTCGTTTTGTAAGATGGTCCTGTGGTATTTATATATGGTACTGTAATTTTGATAAATGGTTATGTCGTTTTGTTAGATGGTGCTGTGGTGTTATAGATGGTGCTGTTATTTTGATAAATGGTTATCTCGTTTTGTTAGATGATGTGCTGTGGTTGTTATAGATAGTGCTGTAATTTTGATAAATGTGTTATGTCGATTTGTTAGATGGTGCTGTGGTTGTTATAGATGGTGCTGTAATTTTGATAAATGGTTATGTCGATTTTTTAGATTGGTGCTGTCGATTTGATAAATTTGGTAAGGTCGCTTCTCTTTTAGTTGGATGCTATGGTTGTTAAAGATGGTGCTGTAATTTTGATAAATGGTTATGTTCGTTTTGTAAGATGGTGCTGTGGATTTGATAAATGGTTAGGTCGTCCTTTTAGTTGATGCCCAATGGTTGTTATAGATGGTGCAGTAATTTTGAATAAATGGTTTATGTCGTTTTGTAAGATGGTCCTGTGGTATTTATATATGGTATGTAAGTTTTTGAAAAAATGTTATGTCGATTTGTTAGATGGTGCTGTAATTTTGAATAAATGGTTTATCTCGTTTCAATAGACCGTGCCTATGGATTGATAAATGGTGATGGTGGTTTTAATTCAAATAGTTCTGCTGTTTTTAGATATAAAGTGGTAATGTCGTTTTTGAAATGCTGTTATGCCCCGTTTTGGTATATGCGTTATACTGTTTTAGTATACTGGTGTTGTCATTTTATACATGCGTGCTGTGATTTTGTACATGGTGATGTCTTTCTGAAAACTGTGGGAGATGGTCATTTACTTATTTCTGAGAAAAAATATGGCGAAACCTCCTTTAACCCTTTAACCTCATATAGACGTGTTTTGACGGCGTGTAGACCCCCTCCCCTTTTTGAGGCATTAAACAGTGAAAAAATGCCCTAAGTAGGCCCTAGACACTGTTTTTCGTTTGAGAAATGTTGTTAAAAAAGTGACCATTTTTTCGGCGCCGCCCCCATCAAAATGGTACATCAAGGGGATGTGCCCTCTTCTGTGTATAAAAGTTGGCGAAAAACAAAGGTCTCCATAATTTAAAATAACCGATCAAAATGTTCCAGTAAACAAACAGGTCATCTATAAATAGATCATCATCATCGTAATAAAAAATAACAAAACCTTACATCAAAATAGTATCACCATGTATAAAAAGAACATCACCACATAGCAAAATAGTATAACCATTTATAAAAAGAACATCATCGTACATCAGAATAGTATAACCATTTATAAAAAGAACATCACCATACATTAAAATAGTATCGTCATTTATAAATAGAGCATCACCATATATCAAAATAGTATCGCCATTTATAAAAAGAACATCACCATATAGCAAAATTACAGCACCATTTATAAAAATAACAGCACCATATATAAAATGACACTACCAGGTACCAAAGTGACACCACCATATATCAAAACGACATCACCATTTATCATTACCACAGCACTATTTATCAAAAACAAAAGCACCATCTATGAAAAATTACAGCACCAGTTATCAAAGCAAACAACACCGTATATAAATTGACCACACCAGGTACCAAAGTGACTCTACCATATATCAAAACGACATCACCATTTATCATTACTGCAGCACCATGTATCAAAACAACAGCGCCATATACATAATTAAATCACCATTTTTCAAAACCACAGCACCATTTACTTAAACTACAGCACCATCTGTCAAAACGACATCACCATTTATCAAATCCACAGCACCACTTATTAAATCCACATCACCATTTATTCAAACTACAGCACAATCTGTCAAAACGACATAACCATTTATAAAAACCACAGCACCATTTATTAAATCCACAGCACCATTTATTTTAACTACAGCACCATCTGTCAAAACGACATAACCATTTATCAAAACCACAACACCACTTATTAAATCCAAAACACCATTTATTCAAACTACAGCACCATCTGTCAAAACGACATAACCATTTATCAAAACCACAGCACCACTTATTAAATCCACAACACCATTTATTCAAACTACAGCACCATCTGTCAAAACGACAACACTAGTTATTCAAAACCACAGCACCACTTATTAAATCCACAACACCATTTATTCAAACTACAGCACCATCTGTCAAAAACGACATAACCATTTATAAAAACCACAGCACCACTTATTAAATCCACAGCACAATTTATTTTAACTACAGCATCATCTTTCAAAGCGACATAACCATTTATCAAAACCACAGCACCACTTATTAAATCCACAACACCATTTATTCAAACTACAGCACCATCTGTCAAAACGACATAACCATTTATAAAAACCACAGCACCACTTATTAAATCCACAGCACCATTTATTTTTACTACAGCACCATCTTTCAAAACGACATAACCATTTATCAGAACCACAACACCATTTATCAAATCCACAGCACCATCTGTCAAAACGACATAACCATTTATCAAAACCACAGCACCATTTATTAAATCCACAGCACCATTTATTTTAACTACAGCACCATCTTTCAAAACGACATAACCATTTATCAAAACCACAGCACCATTTATTAAATCCACAGCACCATCTGTCAAAACGACATAACCATTTATCAAAACCACAGCACCATTTATTAAATCCACATCACCATTTATTTTAACTACAGCACCATCTTTCAAAACGACATAACCATTTTTAAAAACCACAGGACCATTTATTTAAACTACAGGACCATCTATCACAACGACATCACCATTTATTAAAACCACATAACCATTTATCAGAACCACAGCACTATCTGTCAAAAGGACATGACCACTTTAGAAGTGTTTATATAAGGCAGCTATGGCGTTCCATAGTGTCTAATAATTCAATTCAACATTACATAGTTATAAAAGCTATAAATAGTTACAATATTTAGATTTTCGGAAAATATCAAGGTCATTTTTTATCGATCTGAATCGTTGAAAGTTGTATAGATCTGCAGAGTTGTTTAAATTGAATGGGAAGAATAACGGCACGACCATTTCATTTCGTCGTACTCGTAGTACTCGTTTTATACTGTGACAGGCACCGTTTAGTCAATATCGTATTGTGCCAGGAGTCCGACACCATGTATCTTATTTATATACACGCTCGTAATGGTTTCTGGATATTATTAATTTGATACCAATTAAACGATATCTAAACTTTTAATAAGCAAATGACCAACGATAAAAAAATCAAAATTGAGCATATACATAGTATACATGTATAAGTCATTAAAGGCATCAGACTCGTTACCAAATCTTACCAAAATGAAACACACACACACGTCTGACATCGCTTTACTATATAAAAGGCTGCTATTAAAGTTTTTGAAGCCGCACAGCACAATCTAAATCATCTAAAACTAAAACAATACAAAACTTTAAAGGAGATACATTTAAATTTCTTCAAAACAAACATAATCTCTAGTTTCAAAAAGTAAACAAACTAATAGATTGGAAAATTCAGATGTTTTATTACAATCCAATGCAACACCAATGCATTTTATTTCATGGATACGTGTAGCTGTTCCTAGGTTAATTTTATGTTTAAACAGTGAGAAATATCCGCATTTTACCAGTATGTCATTCTTAGGTTAATCTGCCAAACATAAAATTAACCTAGGAACAGCTATACGTATCTATTGCCTCTAGAGAAGTGTTCAACAATAATTTCAATCTGTTTATTCATTTCTGTTCTTTATTTTCTTCTTTCAATGCAGGATAGTGCAGACATATTATATCTGTTCTGTTCAATACATGTTGGTTTTAGGGTTGTTATAACAAAAATAATCAAATTTAAAGTAATGAAAACGAAGTAAAATAACCTTTTAAAAGTGCAAGAATTTATAGGACAAAACAAGTACAAATGTACATTTACAGATTAACTACTGGAAAACATGCTTTATTTAAGAGAAAATAAGTAAAAAAACACAAACAGTTCAAAAATAAACCATAATGAATATAACAGAGCAGATTACCCAAACGAGTTATGAAAATGTAACAAAACATAAAAAGCACGTGTGTCCTTCTTACATTGTATACAGCTGCGTGTAGTTTACAGAATTATTGGTTGAATTTTGAAAAAAGAATGCCACCAAAATACCTGTCTGAGTTAATATATGATATTATATTTCCTTAAAAGCCAATGGCGCATGCATGAAATCATTGCTGAAAATTGTGAACCAAGCTTAAAAAGCAGCTTAACATTTTGTCTGTTCAAGAACATATTATTCTATTTATTTAAAGTAAAATAGCCATGCGTGTTAAATAACAGAGTCTATTATACTACAACGTGTTCGAGAATCGACCATAACATTATGAAAACAGCATAAATGAACAGTTTATAAAGTTTATTAAAACATTTCATTAGATATTCCTTTATACAATTCAGAGTAAACATTTGTACTAAATAAATCTTCTAAAAAAACGTGCCCGCCTATACAGCATGTTTGAATTCTAATATTGTTAACAATGAACAAATATTTTCTGATTTGGTTTTTTCAATGATTCTTTTGCTATTAAAGTTACAAGTGTGCCTCATTTATTTAATATTGTTCTAAATACATGTATTACTATATGAGATGTGTTACTTGACAATGATATTTCATATAAAGAAAACAGTTATTAAAAGTGGTTGCATGAATATGTGATACTCCATTTAAACCATAAATATCTCCTTTAAGATGCACATTGCTTTGTTTTTCTTTCTATTTCTAATAACAAGACATACCATTATTGTTACAATAAGAACATGTAAATGCAAACATCTCCTCACACATTTATTTACATAAATGAATTATCGTAAATTTTGCTTAATTGCTCCTTCATAGTTTTGATTTACCACCGTTTTGATGGTTCAATACCGGAGAATAGGGGTTGACTGAGCCAGCGTTTGGCTTCCGGTACAACATTTTCCCAATCATAAGCTTCACCACCAACAAGACCGTGATACATGTCGTTAAACGGATTTGCAGGGTCCATGATGAATGGAGTTTTACTGTAATAAAGAAATGTGTGCATGATCATACAGAGGATTTCTTGACATACATAAATCGATTGTGAAGGACTTTTCTTTAAATCAAACCTTTCCCAAGTGACTGAAAATAATATTAATTTGATAGAAATGTTAATCGATTTTGTAGAAATTGGAACGTGAAAAACTTGTACTTGAAAATATTTATTATTCTGTATGCAGATGATATTGTAATTATTGCAGAATCTGAAAAAAGATAAATCTGTATGATAATCTTTCATAATCATTTTGGTTAATAATCCCTGACTTCAAAACTAATAGAGTGGCGGAGTGACCGAGTGGTTAACGCGTCGGACCAGTTCAAACCCTATCAGGGGCAAGCCGCTTTTTCCTTGAGCAAGAAATTTTACATTCATTGCTTAGTACTGGTTGGTTCTAGGAAGGGATCCGAGACTGTTTCAATAAGCTTACAGCTTCGAACACAATCGAACTAAAATAAATTTGTATAAACTAAAACTAAAAGAGACTATTTTGCGGTGGTTACAAAAACGAATGTGTTGGCCTTGTTGAGTCTTTTAAGTCATAAAACATGACTGGGGCATATAATAATAATAATAATAATAATAATAATAATAATAATAATAATAATAATTAAGAATAAGTAAAACATTGATACGTATATATAATGTTATAAGTCGTATTTGTTTCATCTTACCTATTTCGAGCCAAGCCACTACTATATTTCATTTGTTTCACCAACATAATCTTGAAACTTCTATGATTTATGAGTGATGTCAGCACAGCATGAAGAGCCTTTGCCATGTCAAAGTTTTCCGGATTTCCGACATCATTCCATGCGCTTATAATAACAAGTTCAAATGGGTACGAAGTTGGCCAGTTTGGCTTATCAAATCTTTTTTCGGCAAGACTTGGCATCTCCGGTTCATTTTCGTCCTGAAAACGTACAGAGTTTAAGACAATTTCAAATTAACTGAATGAAAATATAACATTCAGCGACGCCTTTAATATGTTTATCGTTTCAATACTTTGTCAATGTGCATATACATGTATTTCAAAAAGTGAAAAATTATAAAATTCAAACAAAAATTATTTTGCAATCTGTTTTCCTACCTTAAGGTATTTTACTTTCCAATACTTGATCAATGTT